TTTTCTCTCCCCTAATGATAGGTTCAGGATGATGCTGAATTAAATGAAGATGGATCCCCACTGCTGAGATCAAAGAGAAGGCTTATCTTGACAACGCAACTCATGCAGCAATTATTTCGCCCTCCACCATTGAGTATTCTGTCTGCTGATGCGAGTTCTGCACATGAGAGTGTGACCTATGGTGCATCTAGGGTAGCATTGGGGGATGCATGCAGTGCTGTTTCTTGCTCGGCTGACGTTGATCGCCGTGATTGCCTGGACCTGTAAGAACTTGCTTGGATATACCCAAATTGATTGCTTCATGCAAAATGCTTCTTGAATCTCTTACGTTCATCGTTTGTTTTTCTGTTAGTCTAAACAATGATCGTTTTTTAATGAACTATCTTCTAGACACTCCATGAAGGGCAAACTAAATGGCGATCCACGTTTCAAAAAAGTCGTTGAAGGGTTGTTGGGAAGAGCTGGGAAGCTAGAGAACGATTTCTTACGGTATTTCTGGGCACCTTGTCTTGATCTTCTTGTTTTGTTGTGTGTGGAATTTTTCTTCCATTTTTTTGGCCTGCTCTGCATCATATGCGTAGGGTTAGCCAATTTGATAATTGAAAGAATGGGCATATATAATTTATTGATTTGGAGTATCTGTGTTTGTTTAGCCTGATTGCCAAACACTTCAGGTATCTTCCCAATTACAAATCACCATAAGTGTTAAAAACACCCCCTTGAGGATTCTGGTTATCCATCAAATGCACCCTTTGTACCACCTCTTGAGGTGCAATTTACATAAGAGAAACCATTACCAATAGGGTATGTATAGTTGTTGAAGGATACTTAAATTATTTTTCGTATAATTTAGCTAAACCTTTTTGGTGGCTTTTGTAAGAAGCCCTACTTATCACTCGTAAATCACTTTTGTAAGAATCCCTGCTTAGCAGTACCATGTTTATTTAGTAGAACTTGCTAATGTTTATTTAATGCGTTCTCCTTCCTTGTTGCTTTTTGAAATGTGTTATATCGTGATGAGTTGTTTTATCCGTTGATGGTCTACTTCCTTTCTTCTTCCGTAGTTTTTTATAGTGCCCTCTTTGCTCTTACCATAATGTGTATTGGACTATGACTGCAATCTTGGCTCCATTATCCTTTAATATAGATATATTATATTGAGTTGCAGACTGGATAAGAACACATCGATATTGGACTTGAGAGTGGAATCTCAAGAACTCGAGAAGTTTTCAGTCATCAACCGATTTGCAAGGTTCCATGGTCGGTCACAAAATGACAATTTCGAGGCAGCATCAGTAACTGCAACAACTTCTAATCCTCATATGCAACGATATGTTCTTGCATTGCCCATGCCCAGAAATCTACCTGACAGGGTACAATGTTTATCGCTATAAAATATTGCTCTCAAATTTATTTTGTATATTTCTTGTGGTGGTCTGCAGTCTCCAGTAGTTTTTACTAACTGGGACGTTGATCGACTCACGGAAGGCTGTTCGCATCTCGTCAAAATGTGATAAGAGGGCTATTTGATGATCCCTTTCGATTAGGCGAAGGGTGTTTAATGTCTTTTGATGTTAGGCAATTGATATCATTATTGGGAAAATTTAATATATGAGAGGGCTATTTAGCTTTGTTCCACTTCCTCTTGATAATGTTATTCTTTCCTGTAATTTACGTATTTGTGCTCGAGTTTGAGACAGCAAAAACGCGGTCCAGCACGATTTGGCTGCTTTTGTAGTTGTGTATCATACAGCATTTGCAATTTTCCTGAAAAGTAACATGTACTCATGTGAAATTTAGGTCCGTAAATCTTCGTAAGAGTGCACAATAAAAAATCATCTCTGTTTGCAGTAGCATTAGGTTTATTACCTGTTCTATTGATTGCTCTATGTACATGGAGGACCAGAACCAGATTGGACACTTTGGCCATTATCGTTTAAATTTCGAATTGCAATGCACGATTTCTTTTCTTAGTTGTTTGGTGACTCTTGTATTCGTGCTTTTTTCATGTTCTGTTTGGAGACCAGAAAGATAACCGAGTTGTACTTGTATCGAGTCATCTGTGTACTGCTCCTTGTATCCGAGTCATCCGAGTTAGGGATGAAAATATGATTATTGAAATTTATTGGAAGGCTTCACAAACTGGTTACTACCTATCAAATTCCTCATTTCCCCCCTTTCTAACATATAAATAGTAGTAATAATTTATGCATAGCTAGATATTGTTATAAATTTTCTGGTGGTGATTATAATTATTGAAGGCATCTCTAATTGGATGTCTTATTTTCAAGTTTCAACTATATAATGATACACTTATGAATCACTCCATCCAATAATTATAGTTAACTCAGTACAATCATCTATGTCATTTAAGGAGAGCACAGCTGGAGTTTCATTTAAGATGGCTGGATAAAGTAGGTATGTCACATAACATGACTACCAATGTAGCTTGTTTAGGCATAATTCATGTAAAAAATCTACATACATAAACTTTCAAGGAAAACAATATTACACCCTATTATGCTTGTTTCTTGCTTTTGCAGCCTAAATAATATTTTTTCCAGTAAAAGTTGCAAATTATGAAATTTCATAAACTTAGGATTGTATTTTATTAAAATATAAAAACTTTAGATCATAAAATTACAACACATACATACAAGTTGCACATATTTCTTTTTTTTTTTCCTCGAACTTACTTCTGCATTTTTTTCTATATTTTAGCGGCTTCAAAAGTGCACTTTGCGCCTCCAGGGCGTGAGGTCAAGTGGTGACTAGTGGAGGGTGAAACTCCCTTTTAAGCTAGAAGTCACGAGATCGATTCTGATTATAATTGCGCTTTTCCTGGGAGGATTACTCCCACTTCTTTGCGTGGGGATCCCCTAGGTTTGATAGGCCCTTTACCGTGAGTTGGTGGGCTGCAGTGGGTGGTGAAGCCGTGAAATGAATGTGGGGATACCTTCCCATCGAAAAAAAAAAATTACATTTTGCAAGTAAGGTCATTGAAAACTAGGTGCTGTCAAAACATACAAGACTAGAAAAATGTTTCTAAGTACATGATTAAACTTTATGATTTAGATTAAAGAAGTTACAATAAATACTACTCCAAAATATCTAAGCCCCTTCAAATAAAAATTAGAGTAGCTTGAGTAGAGAAAATAAAGTGCAGTTGACAACTGAGAAGGGGGGCCCATTACCCCATATACTATGGATCTTTGTTTTCATGTTATTTTAATATATTAAATTAATTAATAATAAACATTATGAAAAGATTGGGAAAAAGTTCCATAAGAATAACTGCCTATGACAGAGAGTTCAACTTCCATCCTTCACTTTGACATTGTTGGCTATAATTCCTTAATAAGAAGACAAAGGAAGGAATATCTTCCTTACATTTTGTTTGTATTTGCTTTTCTACATATCTTTTTCTTGTTATTTTCCACTTGGAAAATAACAGCCCTTGGATTAGTTTGCTATGGAGGACATATGTGCTCCTATTTTTTATTTGCTTCATTTTCACCTTTCTCTCTCTCCTTTTTTGTTTTTTCACAAATTTTTATACGAGACGGTCTAACTATTAGAAGGGTCGACCCGTCATACTTTTGTAACAAATATGTATATTGTAAAATATCATACTTTTGTTTACGTTGTTTTTCAGAGTATGATATTTTAGTATAAAAGTATACTAAAAACGTTGAAAAAGTATGACTGTCTAACGGTAACATATCACCTTTTTATTTCTTTGCAAATTAAAACTTTTAGACATTGGATCATGCATGGATATCTTCCCCCAAAAATATTGTTTGCAAGAAAGAAAGAAGTTGGGGCTTTTTTTTTTT